CCCAAAGCCCTGAACCCTAAACTCTTGGAGGGTAGAAGGGCGCGCGTTGCGGGGCTTTCAGGATTTAGGTGGTTTTAGGGAGTGTTTGAGGCTTTTTGCTTTAGGATTTTGGGAGGTTTGGGGCTCGAAGGACATGACACGCTTCAAGGCTTTTTGGGGTTTAGGGTCTAGTGTTCTTTAGGGTTTTGTGAGTTTGGGGCTTAGGCCTTTCGGCTTGGGGTTTGGAGGGGTCCAGGTCACGTCTCCGGCACCTGACCCCTCCTTCAGGACACTTCCCTGTGGTTGATTTAAGGCCATGAAGGGCTCCTTGAAAGGGTTCCGGGGATCTCTCCAAGGTTTCTTGACAGGGTTTCTTTAACGGTTTGAGTAGGGCAGGGTTTCGAGGTCTATTGTAGTACAATGTATACTTATATGTGGACTACAGGCGTGGATACTGAGCTGATGACTCAGACAAACGAACCGCGTGGCGCTACGGTGTGCGGAGTGGCGACGGGAAGGAGGCGAGGAGCTTGGGCATGCCATGAAACCATGCAGAAACGATCATGAGATTCAGAACCCTAAACCCTAAACCCCGAAAAACAGTAGGGTGCTGAATAGAACTAAGGACCTCCGAGGACCGAAGCAGAAACCCCCAAATGTAGTCTATAAGGACCTTTCAAACGAGAACGCCTGCTTTCAAGAAGTTGGCCCTCCTGCCTGCGGGACACTCGTTCCTGTTGCGGCAGCGCAAGACTGATGCATGACCTGGGCTCTTTTTAAGGAGTGTAAGGTTTAGGGTTAAAGGCTTAGGGCTTAGGCGGCTTAGGGGTCTTAAGTTAAATTACAAGAACAAGGCTTTAGAGTAAAAGATATATGGTTCGCTTGTTGTGGCAATCGTAAAAACCTTAAACCCTAAACCCCTGAGCCCTGAACCCTGAAACTCAACTCAAGCTCCTGAACACGAACTCAGCGGCAGGTGCTGGAATCCATGAAGGCCATGGGGTCCGCCCAGTATCCCGCTTGCTGCAGGGGTGGCTCGAGGCCCGCAGGGCCTTGGGAGCCAAAGTTTTGGGTTGAAGGTTGCTGACAGAGTTTAGGGTTTAGTGATTTAGGGTTTAGTGATTTAGGGTTTAATGATTTAGGGTTTAGTGATTTAGGGTTTAGGTTTAGTGATTTAGGGTTTAGTGATTTAGGGTTTAGTGATTGAGGGTTTAGGGTTTAGTGATGGATTCATGAGATGTACCCCTATCTTCTATACTATGTACTACCAGGGCCTGAATAGAATGGGATTTGGGGGGTGTAACATAGTGGAATGATAGTAAGGGACACCAAATATAGTATTGGTAACTGTTCGGAAGCCAGGACGTCTGGTACCAGAAAGTAAGTGAACGCTAAGCTCCGGGCAGACCAAGCCATCCGGACAACCCTTGCACCTGGCGTCGAAGCCCTTGTCGCACATAAAGGTCTCCTCCCCAGTCTTCTGAGAGGTTTAGGGTTTAGGGTTTAGGGTTTAGGGTTTAGGGTTTAGGGATTTCGATAGCGTTTTACATGGTTTTAAGCAGGCTGTCATAGGGTTCTATAGAATGTGGCATAAGCCTAAACCCTAACCCCCAAACCCCGAAACCCTAAACCGCTAAACCCCTAAACCCCTATCTATGGGAGTCTTGTTTGACCTGTGGGCCAGCCGAGGTATACCCTTCAGGCGGACACAAAAAGTCTTGCTTTCTTGGGGGACCGTCGCCAATTGGCTTGTCGAATCTATGACTGTAACACTTCAGGGCTTCAAGGTTTCGGTCTAGGGTTTAGTGTTCAAGGCCTTTGGGCTTGAGAGTTCAGGGTCTTGGGCTTTTTGGGGTAAACCCTAAACCCTAAACCCTAAACCCTAAACCCTAAACCCTAAACAAGTTTAGGGCTTTGAAGCCTTTTCGGGCCTCTCCTCCGCACAGAGGCAGTCATCCCTCGACTCCGCGCCGCTCTCCAGGGTGATCTGCTGCTTGCCACAAGGCAGGCACTGGATGCCGAAGGTGTTCGGCATGTAGCTCCCGGACTCGCACCTGCTGGGGGCTAGAATATAGGGGCCTTTATAATTTTAATAGTGCCTGGGGTATATTCTACTACAATTATGACAAGGAACCCCAAAACATAATTAGAATAGGGTTCGGGGTATATTATACTACAACTAAAATAAAGAATCTCAAAACCCTATTCTAGTTGTCAAGGCCCCTGCATTCGGGTTTAGGGTTTGAGGCTTAGGGCTAGAACAGGGTTCAGGGTGTAGGGATTGGGACTTAGGATTTAGGGCTAGAATAGGGTTCAGAACCCAATGTAAAAGCCGCTATCAAGGCCCCTACATGAGGGTGTAGCGCTTATGATTTAGGGTTCAGTGTCGCGGTCTAGTACGCAATGCCCCCCTCCGCCGTCGCAACCGAAAAAACTAATCACACTAGAAAGCTCCGGAAATCCTCTTGACCTCAAACACCAAACTTCAGGCTTGAGGGCTTAGGGCTTGGGGTGTAGGGTTTAGGGTCTACACCAGACGCTACAAATACTTCAGACCTGATACACAAAGGGCGTGGTACCCCAAACCATAGTAATTGCACCAAGCCCGAAACCCTAGCCCTAAATACTAAACCTACCAGCATGACCCCAAAACCCGAAATCTTGGAAGCCCGAAACGCCCCAAGCCCTAGGTAATTACCCTAAATAGCGAAACCCACCTAAACACCTGTGCTCACGGCACTTGGAAGGGCCTGGCACAGGTTTCTAAACACTATGAATCTGGTACAATTTCTAAACACTATGAGTCTGGTACAGGCCATCTCAAAACTTCTATCAACAAAGAAATCCTGCGCAAGCTCCCTTTAAGCACCCGACTAGCGGCCCGAATACAACCCTTATCAGCCCCTTGCCAACCTTTCTTTTAGGGTGTAGCATTTAGGGTTTTTCGGTTTAGGGTTTAGGGTCACCCTAAACCCTAAACCTTAAACCCGAAACCCGAAACCCCAAACCCTAAACCATAAACCCTAATAGGGTTTAAGGCCAAGGGCTTACCGTTTTGGGTGTGGCCTGGTGCAGGTCTCTGAGCCCATGCTCGGCGCTTCGTAGCCCTCTTGGCAAGGACTGCACTCGAAGGAGCCCACATCTCTGGCGAAGGTGCCTCAAGAGCTACGGATTTCGGGGTGTTTATAAGGCTTAAACTGCGGGGTCTTAATAACTAATGAGCTGTAAGCCCTAAGTATCCCTTGCAAATTACAAGGGATACGTAGGGCTTATAGCAGCTCAAGAAGGTGTAAGGATTCCGCTTCGAAGAGGGCTGAACAAGGTGTAGCTCTTGCTGTTCCATATTACGGCTGATGACATAAATCCTGCACTACCCAATAATAAGGAAGATACCATAATTCCCATAGTTTAGGGTCCTCAACGCAATGCAGGATTGCTATCATCAACATTAGTTTACACAGCTTCTATCAGGGCTCGAAACGGTTTCGTAACTGCTCTATATTTCAGCGTTTGCGGGTTTTTACCTCGGAAGCAGTCTATGCGGAACAGTCGGGGCTTCAGATCAAGATCCGCACTCTGCGCGCTACCCAAGAAGATTCACATGTACTTCTCCTGTGGAATCAGGAAAAAACCCGGAACTTAGACCCCAAACCCTAAACCCTAAACCCTCAACCCTGAACTTAGACCCCCAAGCCTGGAGCTAAAGGCCCATGCCAAGCCCTGAAAACCCTAAACCTAATGTAGGGGCCGTAACAAGTAGAATAAGTTTTTGGGGTGTGTTCCTTCTTTCTTTATAATAAGGAACCCCCAAAATACTATAGGTAATCGTTCAGGCCCCTATATCAGACCGTCCTGTAGAAGTCTAGAACCCAGCCTCTGGGACAGAGCGTGCAATTCGACATCCCAGTGCTGTTTGCGAAGGCCCCTCTGGGGCATGTGACGAGGCCACTGGAGCCGCCAGGGCACATGGTTCCTAAGATCTCTTTAGGCTCTAGCATTCAAGGTTTCCGGGTCAGTCTTCAGGGCTTCGGGCTTAGGGTTTGTGTATGACGGGCTTGACAGGCATTTAGAAAGGTGTTCCATGGGTTACAGGGTTTCTGGTTGAGGGTTTACAGTCTTGCAGACAAGATGAGCTTAGGGGCTTACTAAACCCTGAACCCTAAACATACAGTCTTCTGGTTCCTACAGTCTTCTGGTTCCCAATGATGACTCCTTTCGGCCCCTGCTAAGCAGCTAATCATGCAGCAGCAAATGGCTTCATCCTTTTCGAGGGCCTCTTTCAAACATCAAGCTTGCTTGTTTAAGGGCCTCGGCTTGTTTTTGAGGGTTGAGGGTGCAGGATGTAGGGTTGCGGGGCTCAAGTCTTAGCGGCTTTCATGGCTTTCTCCTTACTGCACCCCGAACCACCGAGTGGACTCTGTTAAAAACCCTGCCCGCCCTAAACCCACCCTTGGAAAACAAAAGCCGTCAGCTACGCAAACCCCCCAGACCCGAAACTTGATCCCATAAACCCCTAGACCCCCGAGGCCGCGGTTTAGGGCTTCGGGTTCAGGGCTTGTGGTCTTAAGGTTTAGGGTTGAGGGTTTAGGATCCTTCCAGCACCCCAACCACGCTTCTTAGCCGCCACAGCATCGCCGCAAACAGCCTTCGGTAGCCTTGTAAAGCCCTGTAGAACCCAAAACAAGCTCTGAAACCAGACAACAAAACCCGAAAAGAATCTTCATATTATTATTACTATTATTATTAAGACCCTCAGTAACACCGGTATAGAAAGACCTCATGAGCAGCCCATCTGCAACGCCCTTAGGAAGCCTAAGACAGGCCCCGAAAAGCCCGATGTGGGAGTTTCAGAAAATTAGGATACCTTATTTTGGGGTCCTTATAATAGGGATCCTATTATTTAGGGTACCGTATTTTGGGGTCCTTATAATAGGGATCCTATTATTTAGGGTACTATATTCGGGTCCCCTATTTTCGGAAACCCCCCCATGTTAGGCCAAGGCATCCTCGTGGGCAGATCTTGCACTGCTGGGTCTCATCCTGCGCTGCGCTCTCTGCGGCGTCCGTGAAGTTTAGGGTTTAGGGGTTTAGGGTTTAGGGGTTTAGTGTTCAGGGGTTTAGGGTTTAGGGTTTAGGGTTTAGGGTTTAGGGGTTTAGAAGTCCAAGGTGCACTTCACGGATCCCCGAAATCTGTAGAGCTGGTAGGGCTTGGGGAGTCGCATTTGGGGCGGGTTCAGGGTTTAGGGTCGAGGTTGGGCTTGTGCAGCATCTGAATGCCTTACACGGATTAGGGTTTAAGGTCAAGGTTCATTTAAGACTGGGGCCTAAATATAGGGTTAAGGTTTATTAAGGCTTAAAGGCTAAGGGTTAGGGGTTAGGGTTGATTTAGGATAAAGGGTTCAAGGGCAAATTTCAGGGTTTGTCTCGCCAAGACCTACGCTTAGTGGCTGAGTTCATAAGCAAAGAAAAGTGTACACTTTCAGCTTTACAGTAGGTAGCATTATCCCAAAAAGTGTCAAGTGTATCCGCCTAGCTACTGAGTACACAATCGAAAACCTTAATGCTTAAGCCCGGCCCTAAACCCTAAACCAAACGACACCAAACTCTCTGCTCGAAGGCCCAAATCGCTGCACAGTTCTTCTCACAACAGCCAGACAAGTGGGTAGTTGTCAGAATTATGGTCCCGTTTGAGGTACCCTAAATAGTAGCTGCCGTATTATAATAAGCACCCACAAAGGGACCATAATTTTGACAACCACCCAAGTGCCTTTGAGGGTCTAAAGCTTCAGCACGGCTTGGGCCCTCGTAGTTATGAATTGGTGCTTGGGGTTGACATAAAACTGACGGTTTAGGGTTTAATGCAGGGGCCTTAATAATTAGAAGTGGGTTTGGGGGTTCCTTGTTATAAGTATAGTGTAGTATACCCCAAACCCTAATCTAACTACCAAGGCCCCTATACTAGGGTGTAGGGTTAACTGTCTCAGGGAGCAGTGCGCAAGGTTTAGGGCTCAAGGCTGCGAGTATCATAAACCACTTGAGCCCAAACGCATGAAACTGAATACCCCTCAAACCTTGACCACAAACCCGTCGAAACCTTGATCTAAACCTCCTACCTGACCCCTTACCCTAACCTGAAACCCCTCAAACATGGACCTACAACCATATCCTGCCCTAAACCCTCGCATCTCCGAATCCCGAGACCGTGACTTCCTGAACCATCCCTTCACCCCTCTAGAAATACCTTTAGGAACTCTTCAAAGGAGCTCTTTAAAGGAGCCCTTTAAGGAACCCTTTCAAAGAACCCTTTAAGGAACCCTTTCAGCCCGCTGTAAAGCGCCGAGCTGCCTTGTAGAAGCCGGGATCGCAGGCCGACAAACTCTCCGGTGGCAGCTCGCCCGTGGATCCGTCCATCCACACCTTTCGGGTTTGGGGTTTTAGGGTTTTCAGTTTTGGAAGTTTAGGGTTTTCGGGTATGAGGGTTTCGGGTTTGGAATTTGCGGGGTTTTGGGATTAGGGACTTTACGTTATTAAGGTTTTGGATTTGAGGTTTCGGGGCTTAGGGTTTGGGGCTTGCGGGTTTTAGGACGTAGGGTTTAGGGCTTCGAGTTTGGGGGCTGGCTTTGGGGGCACAAAATTTCGGGCTTCAGGGCTCTAGGGCTTTGCGGCTCTAGGGTTTAGGGTTCAGGGTTTAGGGTTTAGGGTTTAGGGTTTAGGGTTTAGGGTTCAGGGTTTCTTCAAGGCTTTCTTCGGGGCTGCTGGTAGGAGGGCAAAAGAGTAAGGGTTTAGGATGCTGTGGTTCAGGGTTTGGGGTTACGGCTTGGGGCCTAGCCTGGGGAAGGATGCAACCAACGACAACTACAACTTGTTAGTTCAAGTAGTGGTACTTACTGGTGCTGTAATACACCCTAAACCCTAAACCCTAAAGCGTTTGCTGACGAGGCAGGCGAAGGAGCGTCGGAACCGCATGAAGCCGAAGACAAAGACACTTCCGAACTCCAATCGGCAACAAACCTAATCAAAGCCGTAAGCACTGACTCCAGGTTTCTTGCGGTTTTTATGGCTCAGGTCTGGGGAATCATTGATTATACCAGTTCCTTTCTAGAAGTAACAACAGTATGAGGATTCTTGTTGGGATCCATATCATGCACTGGGGTCTATTCACCAGGTGTCTACGTTGAGTCTTTCGCCAAGCCCGTTCTGGTTACAAGTAATATAGGGGCCTTAATAATTAGAATAGGGTTTTGAGGCCCATTATACCATGATTATAACGAGGAACCCCCAGAATAGTATTGGTAATTATTTTAGACCCCTACAGTACGGTACGCCTAACATTCAGAAAACTTCTTACACGAGCAGTTACAACCGCGCCTCCGAACCCTGAATGCTAGGATCCTTCTACAACGCAACAATCTAAGGGCTTTAGGAGGGACCCTTAATAGGGACCCTTGTAGGTTATTGGGGTTAAATATGGAGACTACCTGGCTATACAAGAGGTTTATAAGGACTATACAATGGTTATTTAAGGTACTGGCATTAAGGGTCCCTATTAGGGGTCCTTCCTAAAGTCCTTAGAAACAAAGATATTGAAACCATGCTACAACTAAGGAACACTACTTCTAGATATTTAGGCGCCGCATTCTATCTTAAACTAGGTCCAGACCGAACTACAAGCACTGGGAAACTCCGACGGCCGCCCTAACCCCCAAACTTTCCACCCTAAACCCTAAACTAAACCCTAAAACCCGAAAACCCCCAAAACCCTAGACTCTAAACCCTAAACCCTCCAACCCCTAAACGAAACGAAGGCACCATGGCAGTCCGGAAGGTGAACTTCCGCGTCTGCGCGCTGAAGATCGCGGCGCCCAAGGCTTCCAGAGACCCAGAGCTGCCCAGCTGGACGTTCCTGGAGGTTTTTTAGACTTTGAGGCTTAGGGTTCTTTAGGGTCCTATAGGGTTTAGGGTTCTATAGAGGGTTTGGGGTTTGGTTGGGGCTTTTAGACTTT